CAGCTCGTCCGGGACGATACGCAAAGCAAACTCCATTTTGTCTGTAAAGGCATTGGTGTATTCATCAATGGACATGTTGTCTTTCTTCAACGTCAGGAATTGGTTCTCCAGTTCTAGCAGATTTTGGGCCGAGCAGAACTTTCGCTTGAATTGTACCAAGAACTCTGCCCAAGTCAGTTGTAGTGGCTCATTAGGGCTTAGGGTCTTCCCCAGAGTGTTCCACCAACGAACAACGCCACCCCTGAACTGACGTACTGCATATATGGTTTGTAGTTTTCCCTTGCAACCGCATGTCATGAAGGCCAACTCCATCTCCGAGATCCAATCCATAACTCCGATCTGATCTTCCTTTCCAGTGAAGGTCGATGGTTTGCAAGTCAGAAAATCTTTGTACTTGCATCCAAGTCCATCATTTCCTCCCTCTTGGTTGTTTTGTCTAATTATCGGTGGGTTGACTTGACCAACAATCCCACTGAAGTTTCCTCCTTCTGACTGCCCTTCATTCACTTCGGGCTGTACAATCGATATTGTAAGTTCTTCACGATTCTGCTGAAGCAGACGTCTAGTTTCTTCCATTTGACGATCCAACATCATTTGAATCATCGCTTGTACTCCAGCCATTGTCATTGGCTCAGGTGCTGCTGCTACAACAGGTGCTTGCTCAATTACAGGTGGTTGATTCCTGTTTTCGTTTGCGTTTCCAACTCCACTTCTAGTCCTTGCTATTCTTGATCTATACACTGAATAAGGTGAATTTAGATCCTCATTCATGATAGATATTTAAATCGTCTATATCACTCCGAAACGTTTACATGCAAGTTCTAATACCGTAATCCTACGCTTAGAATCCTAAACACATAAGGTTTCCAGATCCGATTGGCAACAAACCGTAGATCCGAACAAATAATATCATATATGGCGAACATATAACATTTAACACATAAAATCATTTTAGGAATCTTTCCTAAAATATACTAGTGCTCGTGTCTAAAATACAACAAACACTCATCTCACAATCTTCACTTAGCCTCCTAAGTTTAAGTCTAGAAATCCTACAAATTCCTAGTTCGCTTAAATTAATGCTCCGATACCAACTGTGACATCCCCAATTTCATTGCCAGAAAAGACCGATTTAATTTATGCTTTTAAAATAAAATCAGAGTAATCCTTTGATTAAAAGAGTTGCGGAATTTGTTCCCAAAACAAAATATGATAAAAATTTATCAAAGCATTTCTTAAAGAAATGTATTTTCATTATATAACAAAATCGCGGGATGTCATGTTCCGATACAGACCAAAAGCATAAACGGCACATTATAAGCCTTACAACAGTTATTTACAACTACTGGCCTATAATCCAAAATATCTTGATAAGTCATCCAACTTACGCTCTGGTGCCACTACCTGTAACACAAAGAAAAACTGAGAGGGTCAGGCTTAGGAGCCTGGTGAGCATATATAGATTTCAACCCACAATAAATAATTATATTAATTTCATCAATCAACAATAACCCGATTACCCATTCCCGTTATCCTCACTTTACGTCCCTAAAACAACTATCACAAGGGACCTAGCCTCAGGATTTTTCATCGGGGCGACAACACAGCTTTGGGGGTTTCCCAGCAATTTATGTCAAATAAGGCAATCATGTTGGGGATGGAGTACAACAATTGAACACCCAAGTTCAATAACACCTACAGGTGGCGAGCCTGCCGGCGTTCCACTGGACTGTCTAGAAGAGTCTGTGGTCGTCATCTAAACTCCGCTAGATGACTGAATCAGCAACAACATCGAGGCCTCTCATCATTTTATTTAATCACACATCCACTATCTACCCATGTTTCACCCAACATAATTGTAGATAAAAATACATATACAGCTTAAAACCTGTATAAAACATTCATTCAAAACTTATCTCAAATAAACAAATAATATATAAAAACATAACACATATTTTATAGAGAATACTTCGTATCTTTGTGTTAGAAGAAAATGAATATACACTCACTTGATAATACGATGATCGGACAACACTACGACTCTTTAAACTAATATTCTTCGATGAAACCGGGATGTTTTCTCAAAAACCGGGCTTCACACAGGCAGAGTTTCAGCTTGAAAACTCTTTTTCTCGGGATCTTCGGGACTTGCTTCGGGTGTCGGGATGATACCGGGACTTCGGGGCAGTATGGGGGGGCTTAAAGATGAGAAAAGTAGGAGAGAGGTTTAGAAATTAGCAACCAAAACCGGCTGCCCTTGCTTTCTATTTATAAGGTGAAATTTCTGGATTCACGTTGTGAACCACAACTGTTCACGTCGTGAACTTGGTCATGATCAGTTCGTAGTCGCGACGTCAGTCTGTCAGGCTCTGGGAGACGTCAATCACTAGTTCACGTCGTGAGGTCTGACAGATGTTGAAGTTTGTGCTCCGAACTTCAGAAATTCATATCTTTCGCATACAAGCTCCGTTTTCGATGTTCTTTATATCCACGCGTAGGTGAGATTATGCTCTACGACTTTCGTTTAGAATCCGTCGGCTAATTTTGACTTTATTTTTATTATTATATTTTTAGTAGGCCGGGACAGGAAAAGTCTGTTATAAATTCATAACTTCTTCATCCGACGACCGTTTTCGTCTGTCTTTTTACCGTTGCACTACTATTAATGAGATCTTCGATTCTCATTTAGATTGTCTCGGCTAGAAATCACTTGATCTCATATTCGAACTTTGGGCTGCATACTGCTATGTCGAAACTTCGAAAAATCATAACTTCCTCATACGAAGTCAGATTTAGACGTTCTTTTCATGCATGCTCTCGGTTTAACGTATTCTACGACTTTCGTTTAGATCGCTAAGGCTAAAAATCGATCTATCGTAAATTCACTATTTACGTCACGCAGTGTCGTACCGGTTCTGTCGCGAAACTTCGACAGGTCATAACTACTTCGTTATAACTCGGATTTCGACATTCTTTATATATCCGAAATCCTTGTCACGACCACTACAACTTCCTTCATAGATATTGGGTTTATCTAATATTTTATTTTAATGCTTATTTTTATCCTTAATTCATTTAAGTCATACAATTAAGCATAAAACACATAATACTCAAATAATACGTTTTTATTATTTCAAAACGAGTTACAAAGGTTAACCTAGACTATTACATCATCATTAATGCCTAGATTAGAAACACGGGCGTTACATTTCCATCAAATTCCGACCTGACATTTACCAAAATACCCCTTGGCTCCAAAATACAAACTGAACCCATGGATCATCTAGATTTACATCATCCATATCCAAATAGGTCCAGATCTCATTTCCTCTACGGTCCTAAGCTTGATAATTCCCGATATTTGGTCACCACCCCAAAATAAGAAACGATTCGGAACAGGGTGTTACATATGTGCTTCTTCTTTTAATATGTTGACAAACCCCTCTACACCACCACAAAAAAAAATAACACTCTTTGCCGGGGCTGTGGCCTCTTTCCAAAAAAAAAAAATAACTAAAAATAAAGAAACGTCACAGTTATTTTCTATTCAAGGATTTGACATTTGTCTTTAAATTTGTAGTGTAATTTGCAGCAATGGTTGAGGAAATGGTAACATACATCTGTAATGATTAAGATTCTTTTTACTCCTACATGTTATGTTACTGAAGTATTTCACAGAACGTGTAGTTGTAACTTTCTTTCTTTCTTTCTTTCTTTATTTATTCTCTTGATCTTTCCTGTCTCCAATTATTATGTTGAATATAAGGGTTTTTGTTATTGTTTAACAGGTAATGAGTGTTAATTATCCTCAAACATAGGCTTTTATCTTCTCTGTTCTGCTTTGTATGGTTACTCAAATGAATTATTTGAACAAGGTATTCTATTAAGTTGTTCATTTTACATTAATTCAAAGAAATTACCCTTATTGAGTACATCTTTCTTGGGTGCAATATTGACTGCAGGCTCTTGACACCTTCAATACAGCTGCTGTGTCTCCTATATACTATGTTATGTTCACATCTCTTACTATCTTTGCAAGTGTGATCATGTTCAAGGTAATTCTTTGTCAAAATAGCTAACTACATTTGTCTTTTTCGTTGACTTGCTTATAAGTTTTTACCTATGGTAACAATGTACTTTATAGCTAAATTTTTTTAAGGATTTTCCTTTTATGTCTAAAGAAATGTAATAGAATGCTATTAGTGGTTAAATGATCTTTTCTGCCAAAAAATTCAAAAAGATATAATTATGATTATTATGTGTTTGTATAGATAAAATACAATGTCATTACAATGGTGTTTACTCCATTTTTTACATTTGTTACATACAATTCGAGTAAATATGACATGATTTTGCATTGATTTTCTAATTGTATACTATAATCTTAGTTTTAGTTAGTATTGAAATAAATACAGGAGATGAATTCGACAACACCATCCATGCACAACACATGAACTACAAAATCTCAAGAAACATTCTCGATGATGCACAAGTTGAAGCCATTTACATGCAAGATAATATATCCTTCATGCTTGCATCAATACGTCAACAAGGTGTAGTCGCTTATATTTGATGAATAAGTTGCAATTTGGTTGTTTATAATTTGGTTTTGTGGTTGTGGGAAGATATAATGTGATTGATTAGTGATGGGTAAGGTCTTTGCTTTTTGGAAGATTACGAATCTAAAGATCCAACCATATACCAATCTATGCAATATACTTCTATTCATTACTAAATTGCTTGAGATAAAATGTTTGTGAACATGTCATATTGTAGTATATGGAAACCACCTAACGGGTTGTTGTGTATCACAAAATATACATTTCACTTGATGCTCTTGGAACGAGACGGTGTCAACAAATGGCAAGATTATTCGAAAAATAATTTGCTTTTGTTGCAATAAAGACAAGAATATTGACTAATCTTAATATCATACATAAACATCATAAAACACCAACAAAACAAGAAAAGAACATAAAGATTTAAACTTTCTAAAGCGATCACACTTTCTTGTCCACACCGAATCGTTTTGTGAAGAAAAGATCTCTAACCCAAAGTGGAGAAAATGAAAGAATAGAGAATAGAGCCGTCATATAACCGAACACTATTTGCTTCGGTGGTTTTGGGCTCAAAACCTTATTTACTACATGTCGTGCAAACAACGATGCATCAGTCGATTTGCCAACTTGAGAAGCTCTAGCACGTTCGGCTATCGCCTCACTAAAATCCTTATAAAATTTCCAATCATAATGCGACAATGAACCCGTGTTATGACTCCCTAAGCTTGATCTTATAGCCCCAGGAATCACTAAAACTACGTTAATACCAAACGGCTTTAACTCCAAGCGAAGGGTATGTGAGATCGAGTGAACTGCAGCCTTGCTAGCACAGTAAGACCCTGCCCAAGGGGTAGGAACCTTTCCAACAACACTCCCTACATTAACTATAACCCCACTTCTTCTTGAAGCCATGGAAGGCATAACATGTTGCACCATTCTAAGTTGTCCTAAAGTATTGATTTCATAAGCCTTTTTTATCTCATCTAATGAAAGCTCGGCAAGTGGACCCGTGCTTCCAATGCCCGCATTATTGATCAACACATCTATCTTGCCATGCTTTAAAATTATAGCATTCACAGCTGATGAAACACTTATATCCGATAAAACATCAAGCTCTAATGTCTCAATCTGTTGTTCTTGTAACTCTAACAAGTCATCCATTCGTTGAGAAATATCAGAAGCAACGACATGACAATTTTGCTCAGCAAACGCCTTGCAGTATTCATAGCCTATGCCACCTTTAGCACAACCCGTCACTAGAACAATTTTCTTGTCACTCATTATTTTGTTTTCTCAATCTTTAAGCATCAAAATGTTACTTATACGAAGATTCTTGGTTTTCTCCGTTAAACTTTAGTGTTTATAAATAATTTTTTAGTCATGGAATTAAAGAATATGCGGTTGATTAGTTCAAGATTGCAGGCCCGATGAAAGGGTTTTGTATTTATTTGAAATAGTATAAAGAAGGTGAAAACTTTATTAATATTAATATGTGAATAGTTGGTACCATGTATATGTTGGGAAATAATTAAAGGGGTCATTGAGAATAATTGAGTTGGTGAGTTCCAAGTGTGTGTAAATTCAGGTGGGATTTGGGGGAACACAAAAATCCAAACAAAATCTAATAGAAGGTGATAGATTACGAAAAAACCAATGGGCAAATAGATGTTAAGGATTTTGGATAAAAAACATCATAGATGATAGATAGCAACCCGACTACACATACATAACTTCAATTCCATCTTTTAGAGAGAGAAAGAAAGAAAGAAAGAAAGAGACTTGTCGTCGCCATTAAAGTGGTTCTCATTTAAGTCGCTTGTAAGCTAATTCTGCAACTCTCTCATGGCAGAGAGAATCTTAAGTGTATATGACATCGTTCACATGCCTTAAGGGCTATATATGACATTTCACACACACAAGATGGAAAAAGGGAGAACGTTACTTTGCTAAATATGTTTTACTTTAATTAGTAATGAGAGTGAAACCCCATGATACATCTTTATCACAAACTGAGAAAAACTCCAAGAAGATACAAAGAAAGCTATACATAAGCTTTGAATTTTTTCAGAAGAGATGGCTAAAGACTAAAGTACCCTAAATCCTAGGACCCTTGTAGGGCTATAGGGGCCAGAAACAAAGGGAAAGAAAGAAATAAGGCATTGAATTCAATACCCATCATCTAAAAAGTGGTTGGTTGGTAGGGAATCCATTTTTAAGCAGAAACCATTAAAAATATTCTCACTCCTCGAGATAGATGAAGGTGCCTTTCATGTCTGTCTACTGATAACACAATTTTGGCCTTGGAAATATGGGTTTCATTTTGCTTTTTTCACATCCTCTTTTAGAGCAAAAGAAAAGGCCAAACAAATGTTACTTTTATGTCGTTTATAAATAGAGGTTTTTAAAAGACATAATGCCCCCCAGAATGTAGTGGAAAAAGACATCAAATCAATTGGAATTTAAGGTCATTTCATCTGATCAATGTACAAATTTAGGAACTTTATGTGGGAATATGTTCACAGACTAAATAATCACACACTTGAACAATGATACTTTTGACAAGTCAAAGAAATGTCCAATGATTAAAATAGAATAATTGAATAAATCCAAGTCTAGATCCTCTAGAAACGAAAATGAAAAACCATAAACACAAAATATCAATCCTACATTTGAATCTGATCTCTGAGTTTAGCCATGAAGTTGGTATTGCCGGTCAACAATGGGGTTGACTTGCATCCATTTTGCCTGTCAAAATAGGTAAAGATTTAGAATTTAATTAATTACATACAACAAGATCCATAACAAAATATAAAGCTGACCAAAAAATATAAGGGGTCAGGAAGAAAAAAAAATGAACTACATGATGTAATAGTGTAATTAGGCCTTGTTAATATGATGGCATATCAAGAAATATAAGAGCCCAGCAACATAAAGTGGGCCCTGGACAAAGTGACCTATTAACCAATTTGGGCCCAATCTCAATCCTGAAGCCCAACTCGTTATACTTGCTACCTGTTAAGGCTCCAAATGTTTTGAGAATGTGTGCAAGCATAGGTAAACAACCCCCCAAACCCTCTTCTCACAAACTCACATCATGTGGACCCCACACACATAAAACTACTAAGGTTCTGTCTGACGTGTCACAGCTAGCTGATAAACTAACTTATTTTTCGAGTTTTATTATGTTGTCGTGTTTCGTAAGCCAAAAAGTTATAAACTAGCTTTTTGAAAAGCTACTTAAACTAGGTTTTTAGGAGTTTTTAAAATTTTTTCATATAAACCCCTTAATTAATTATAGAAACAGATACTCTTAAATGTCCTTTAAAGTAATTTTATATATTTCAGTTAGTTCTTCGGCTAGTTTTATCAAACGTTATTTTTTATCAGTTAGTTTTTCAACTATCAGCTAGCTTTTTATTTAACAGCTAGATTTTTAGCTAACAGCTAGCTTTTTAGCTAGTACGCAAAACATAACCTAAGTGAACACCCTTAGTATATAATAGACATAATTTAACCCATCAATTACTCAAAATGAAATTAGTGTTAACATACAAAAAAGTTCTTACCATATATCATGAGTCCAACGTACATGAAGAAGACTCTCCATCTGCTCCCATTTGTTCAACTGATCCATCGCTATACAAACTCAAAGCTTGAATACCCTCAGCACAACCACCACCACCTTCACCATTGCAACACACACTCAAACTATCACTAGTCTCAACATGATCATCACCATCACCATTTTCTAATGCATCCCTCGTAACACTACTTTCTTCATCATTAACCTCTGAACTGACCTTTGTATTCTTTCTCACATCATGATCACCATCACCATTCTTGAAATGTGATTTTTTCTTGATGACAACAGGAGTCGTACTTCTATTCCTATATTTATATGAATGTTTAGGGTTGTTTCCATGATAACTATATGGACTCTGGTATGAATAAGTATCTGCGTAGTAATAAGGATTTTGATAGGAACAAGTGTTATCATAATAACTGGGATTGGGATAAGGATAATAATAATACGGAAGCCCCTCACAACCAATACCACTATAAGCTCCATATCCATAATTGTTCATCCCATAATAATACACACCATAAGAGGTTGCAGTGGCGTAAGGAAGAGTAGTTCCATTATACATAGCGTTATTATAAGTATCATAATAACTTCCAAAATTCCTAGTCATTCGCTCTTTTGAAACAGCCTTTTTCACTTCCACTCGCTTGTTTTTCAGTTCATAAAACCTATTCTTTAGTACACTGTTTGCAGTATCTGGTGAATCAAATGTAACAAAACCAAATCTTCGTGGTTTATTGGTTTCTTTATCAGACATCACAACCACATCCTCAATAGAACCAAACTTTTCAAAGTAAGCTTTGAATTCGTCTTTTGTTAAATCAGCAGGTAAGCCACCCACGAAAATCTTCGTGGCATTAGTGAACTCATTGTTATGGTAGTTTACACGATCAAGAGTGTTCAGATGTTGAGTTTGAGACCTCGAATCTTCCTACATTAATAGCCATGCAACATACTTCAAACTATAAACAAGAAACAAGAAAACTAGAATACAAGTAAAAGAAAATATGATCTTGAAAACCCTTGTTGTATGATGATGGTCAAGAAACATATCTATGATCTTCTCGGTGGACCAATCACTAAAATCGTGATATTTGCAAAAAAATAATAATAACAATAATGGAAAATTTGAGCAGTGTGATGATGGGTTTGTTGTAAATTTACCTTTTTCAAGAGCTTTTGAGAACATTCATCGATGGAAGAAGTTCTACCCTCTGACTCCATTGTGTGAAAGAAACCCTAGACTATTGGGGAATCGGAGATAAGCATCAATAAACAAAACGATTAAAAACTGAAATAACGCCTGCTTTGGGCTTGGGAGGTTGTTAAATTAGAGTTATGGTAATATTGTCGTCAACAAATTAAATACGATTGGATTTATTAATATATATTATGGTTAGTGGGTTAGTTTCATTCCCTCAGCTTTGGAGAAATTTGTATTTCTAGACTTCTTATATGTTATTTACTTATTTGTATTAATTTATCAAAAGAAATGAACTTTGTATCCATTTATAAAATAGCAAGACGAATATCTAGTTGTATAAAATTAATATTATATAGTTATATTGTAAACAAATACATATTGTTTTTATATTAAACTAAAAAGTTAATATAACATATTGTTATTATTTTGAATTACATGACAAGAGATATACTTGTTAGAAAGTTAGGAGTCATGATACTATAACAATTATAATGAATGAATGTAATTTACAAAGTAAAATTCAAATTCAATTCATACCGTTGAAGATAATTATTTATCTGGAACCACATTGGCTCAATACCTTTACAGTTTTACACATGAATTGCGCATGAATTAAATTCTATATCATTTTGATTTAATTACACTTTTAGCTATTGTTATATTAAAACAATTCAAGAGCTATTCATTTCATCCTATTTTAAATTTCAATTATTCAGTTTGATTTAAATTCCAAGGATGAAAAATCATTAACTTTTCAAATCTCAAGAAAATCAAGTAATCTTATATTTTCCAACTATTTTGCTAAAAATGGATGATATAACTCGACATCGGGTGGCTACATTTTTAAACTTTAACCTCGTTAGAATAAAAATAATGAAATGTTTCGTTAATAATATTTTCCTAAAATTTAATATTTCGAAGAGTTTCCAAAGATAAAAATGATTAAGGAATTATATCTTTTAGATTAAAGTAAGACATTATTTATTGAATAAAAAGTCTTCTTAAATTTATTTAAGTTTTTAACATGAAGATATGAGGTCAAACTTATCTGTATTATGTGCTCATTTTGCATCATGTTTTTTTTATTCCACATCGTTGAGAAACATAACCAAAACAAAATAAAATAACTGGCTAACACATCTCATAGCCCACATTGCTTAAGAAGCATAATTCGAGGAAAAGCAAACATCTATAATAATGAGGATTTGTAGGTTTTTTAACATGACAGGGTGGAATCAAAGTTAAATTAATACTAGGGCTGACAAAACTGTACCATGGAAAATCAATTAACATGTTACAAACTGAACCAAGAAAGTTGGTAGCCAATATATTTGGTAGCCAACATGTTTGGGTGGTAGTATCATACCAATTGAGCAATGTTGGTACGTTAATGGTACAAAAGTTTGAATATCATGGTAATACCGTACCAACCAATCATTTATATTATTATTATTATTATTATTATTATTATTATATATATATATATATATATATATATATATATATATGCATGTAAACGAAATCGTATATTTCAACGTTTAATTGTGTTTAGTGTTTACAGTTTTAAAAACATTATATAAGTCATTTGGTCACATTAGTTAATAATTATTACAATGTTAAAGCACAAAATTAAATCGTTACATTAGAGTTAATTCAATAGATTTTTTTTAATAAATTAAAAAACTACATAACTAATTTCTAGATTAAACATCAAAATTACCCGATGTCTTTACTTATTTTTAAATCTTACAATAGAAAATTAAAAGAATTTGGTATATATCATTACCAATTTGTACCAACCAAACTTGTTGATAGCCAAATATATTGGTACCATGTATGCTTGGTACTGGTAGCAATTTTTTTATACCAATTATAGTTGGTACGGTAAATGGTTTAGAGAAAAATTAATTGGTACCGTACCAATTCCACCCCTAGTTAATATTCCGTATTTTTTGTATCATGTAATATATTTATAGGTTAATTATTCCATGTTGAGCCAAACTTCAATCGTTTCGGTAGTAGACAATCACATTTTGTTTATTTAGGTGATGAAATTACATGCCGTTCTATGTTATTATAATTAAATTACATGACAATCAAATAACATTACTTTTCCAACTATTTTTGCTTGAAATTGATATCTTATACTCAAAATCGACGTGTGTAAACTCAACATCATTATAATTAAATAATATAATGTTTAATTATATTTTTTACCTTAAACTTTAATATTTGGAAAAGTTTCTAAAGAAAAAATGATTAATGAATTATCTAACAATTTGAACTCTTAAGGAGACCATTATTTATAGAATAAAAGAGGTTGTTAAGTTTTGTATATCATGATGGGAAGATCAAATTTGCTTTTATCATATACTTTTGTACCATATTTTTTTTTAATCTCAAATTGCTTAATAAATAAAGTTGAAGTGAAAGCAAGTCTATAAGTAAATAGGTTAACATATTCTTAAAAAAAATAAAACTCAACGGAATACAAACATCTATAAATAAATAGACAAACGTTTTATCATATATCTTTGTTATCATGTGTTCTTGAGTGGCACCCACTTAGACATCAATTAAAACATTCTAGGAACCATGTTTTCGACTATGAAAGTTTTTTTTGGTGTAGAATTATCATATTTTATACATTTTGTGATATCCTACGTCAATAAATAAAAAATGACCTTATTTAATGAAAATGATATCATATTAAACTTTCGACTTCTTTTCGTTAACCTCCATAAGAAGTCTTAAGAAACATCTTTTTTACCCCTTCATGTAAAATTGTTTTAATGGTTTTAAAGTTTATAATCTTAAGTCTTAATATTTATATAAAAGTTTAATTTTTTTTTGAACATTTATATAAATATAACGATTAAGTTATTTTTTTTAACAATGTTGACACGTTCATTGCAAAAAAAAAATGTTCATATATGGTGATGATTCAAAAGAAGTTTACATATATTATAACTATTTTTATAATAACTTAATAACAGAAGGGGTAAAACTATATAACACCAAACTTAATAATTTTTTTAATAACTTTTAAGTTTTACTATTTCTAAAAGTTGAAACTATATATATAACAGCAACATTTGAAACTTTGAGATGAAAACATATTTTTATAAAAAAATTATCACTAATGAATATTAGTAATAGACTTTGAAAGCGACATTATGATAAATATTAAAGGATAAGAGAAGCAAATTAGTTATATTATATAGGGAAAAAATGAAAGGTTAGTTATATGTATGGAACAATGTAGATAAATAGAAAAAAAAATCAGATTAATATGGTAAAAAATAAGTTATTTATATTGAAACATATTGATTTTGATGACCTCCTTTATAAGATTATATATATATATATATATATATATATATATATATATATATATATATATATATATATATATATATATATATAGATATATATATATAGATGCTTCAAAATTTACCAACTTTACAGATCATACAACAAGTATACTCTCTTGTAAATTGGTATATGTGTAATTACATTGGTTGATTCTACTATAAAATAAAAATATTTAAATAAATCAATAAGAAATAAGTAAATTAAGAATTTTTATTGTACATCACATAAAATCACAACTTTGTCCCAAATTTTACAATATTTATATAGTCGTTCTTAAGTTTTCATTTAGTTGCAAATTCCATCCATGCTTTAAAAACAGATCTTATCAAGGTGGTCACTCAGTCCGAGTCTGTTGAATCGTAGGTTAGGTTGTTACTTCTTCCGCGATGTACTTTATAGGTGTTTAGCACCAAGAATAGACACGAAAGTAGGGTTGGGAACATGAAATCCTTAAAACCTGTTCTATTTTGAACTCTTTGGATAAATGGGGGAAAAATGACAGTATTGTTACGTTAGTTGAAAGTTTGTTTGATCATATTGGTTTGGGGTCATTGAGCCAATGAAGAGACCACTTTCAAGAGTAGAGAACAAAGGACAACACCAAACTCAGGTAATGTATTAGTAATATATCGGTAAGGTTACCAATGAAGAGATCACTTTGGAGGCTAAACATACATACAATCCACCCACATCCATGCAGATCACCATATTTTCCGAGCCTGCCGTCATAATGGAGATTAACAATGTCCATGGTTGCATTAAATCATTTCCTAAAGGAACTTCGCCGGGGGGGGGGGGGGGGGGGGGACGAATTAAGAGCTCAACAAATTTTGGATTCTCTATGTGGGGAGGGGTTTGTTGTAGCTACAAATCTCTTATGTGTCATCATTGTAGTGGTTAATCTGTGGCTAGGGGAGATGTATGTCGTGGCTACAAATCTGCCCCTCTTACTCTGTTCCTAAAACACAATAATGAAATCCGACATATTGTTGGGGGTACTATATGGATGTGTTTGGTTTCAAGGTTTCCATGAAAGGTATTAGTAATGAAATTACCCTGAGGCTCATCATTTATAGGGCCAATAGAGGTTGTGCCCCCCCCCCCCCCCCCCCACGCGCCTGAAATTTGGGTTAGAAATAGCCCATATAACTTCAAAAATTTTAATTATAGGCCTGCTATTGTCAAAATTTGGTTATGACCCCTCCTGATTTCTCCAATAGTCCGATTTATGAACCAAGTAACAAGTCAAAATTTAAGTCAAAATGGATCGTATCTAGACCTTACCCAGTTCTGCCCCCATCATCGCTAGTCACCACCTTGCTCAGTCGCTACCCGCTGGATACTGTACCTCACCTGGATACCTGGCCTCACCATTCATAGGTCTCCACACTCTACCGGTCACCGGAAATCAGGTATATAATCTATTTAGCTATTCTTTCTTCTCTTGTTCTCCAGTTCTCTTAGTTTCATCTCTTCTTGGAATAGTAGAATTAGGAGTTAGAATTCATAAATCTCAAACATTATATTTCTAATTTTCTATTGATTGAATTGTTCCTGAGTTAGGAATTATGAATGCTCCTATTCTTTGCTTGTTTTTCTGATTTGGGTCCTGGGAATCAATTAATTTCAATTTCACTTTTCACTT